GCCCAAAACTCCAGTATTACTTAATCCCCTTCTCCCCATCCTCTTCACTCTCTCCCAACCTCCCTATATCTTTCTTCCAAACCAACTCTGGGACAAAAGAGGGTGTGGTTAAGCAGGAAGAAACAGGCCCAGGAACTAGCCCAGGTAAGCAGGAAAATGACTGAACATAAGCATGTGTGTCTAAGGTTGAGAGGAGAAAAAGGACAGAAAGATAGTGTTATAGGTAGTCCCTGCAATATATATATGTATATATATACACATATATATATAAAATTTGGTTTTTGAGGCCACACCCAGTGATGCTCAGGGGTTATCCTGACTCTGCACTCAGAAATTACTCCTGGCGGTGCTCAGGGACCATATGGGATGCCAGAGGTTAAACCTGGTTTGGCTGTGTGCAAGGCAAATGCCCTGCCCACTGCACTATTGCTCCAGCCCCTATCCCCTGCTTTTTGAAAGTTCACATTTACATACTCACATTACTTTTGTTTAAAAAAAATATGTACATTCATATGTGGTTTAGATAATCAAAAGAAATCCAGAAGAGAATTTAGTTTTGGAGGCTACATGCACCCAGAGCCTCTAGAGCGGCTCTACCCTACTCCTTCTCCAAAGAACAACTTGCTGGAATTTTCCCCACCTGATTCCTGATTATACTATATGCTGGTATTGGTTTAGGTTTTAATCTTATTTGGCTTGCGATTGAGAATGCTAAAAAAATATTGTATATGAACTGGTATAAATTATCACTTCACTTCATGTCGTTTCAGCTTATGAAAGGACTCATAAGAACACTCCACTTGGGCTTGGATGGAGATGAATGATTGACCCTGGCCTTCATGTGTAAGGTCCTGGATTGGATTCTCAGCAACACACACATACACACACACACACACACACACACACAATAACACACCCAGTGAACTCCACTTTGGGTCTCCCAGAGGAGCTGTATGGTTCAATGCTAGGATCTGGTGGTGTGGTGTTGTCTGGGCCCAGCACTGCTGGCGGCCACAGGGTCATACCTGAGAGTGCGTGACAATCTCCAGATCATACCATCCGTGCCAGGGAGTCATGTGATACTAGGGCTCAGACACAGGGCCTGGTGCAGGGAAGGCATGCACTCCTCTCTTGAACTATCTTCACTCCCAATAATACTCTACTTTTGAATGGGGGGTGGGGGGCTGCATGTCTCAGAAATGTAAATATGAACCTTACCTAGCATTTTATTAAGCATTTTTAAAAGTTTCATAAATTTTACCTTACTTTTCTTCACAACCACCTTGGGGAAAGCACTACTGTCCCCATTTATGAAACAGGAAGTGGATCCAATCAATTGACCCCGCAGGTCTTGAATCTGCATCCTGGGACAGTATCCCCCTCACACCTCAGGACCCTTGATTTCACGAAGAAAACACCTGGCCAATCTGCAGCCCTATGGTCATGCACTGTAGCACTGTCCTCCCGTTGTTCATCGATTTGCTCGAGCGGGCCCAGTAACGTCTCCATCGTGAGACTTGTTGTTACTGGTTTCGGTATATCGAATACATCATGGGTAGCTTGCCAGGCTTTGCCGTGCGGGTGAGATACTCTCAGTAGCTTGCCGGGCTTTCCGAGAGGGGCGGAGGAATCGAACCCAGCTCGGTCGGCCGGCTACACACAAGGCAAACGCTCTACCGCTGTGCTATTGCTCAGCCCTGCAAAGAATCAGGGGAAAGAAAAAGGAAAAAGATAATGCTTACACATCTCCTTTTTCCTTATCTCCCATAAGAAGATCCTAACTTCATAAATTCCAGCCTTCAAAAATTCTGTCTTCTCTTCTTCACTCTGGGAATAACTTTGGGTTTCTAGGTATCTGGTCAGACATAATTGGAAGCTAGAAGTTGTAGTATTATTGAAGTACATGGATTGATATCACTTAAGTATTTAGAAAGAAAGAAAGATTAGAAGGCCAAAAGAAAGATAAGGTCAGAACCGCATCAACTTTTGTTTGGGAAAATTGTCATGATGGAGGACAAAATGCATACATCCCCGAGTACTCAGGAGTGGGGAGCTCTTACATAAGTGAGACCCTGGGATTGACCCCTGGCCCCCAATATTGCCTAGTAGCAGCCTCCCATACCCACCCTGCTCCTGCCACCACCAGGCCCCACCACCACTACCACCACTGCTAGGTGTGACCAACACCCAGAGGGCAGCAGCTAAGTTACACGCTGATGTGGTAGGGACAAAGGTAGCTTCTGCTTTGTCAGCCTCTTTGGAAAGATGGACCTGCACATTGGCCACTAAGACAACCCCTCTGATGGTTCTGAGGAGAAAAGCAACCACAAGTGAAAGCAGGGAAGCCTGATATCCTTCTCTACTCTGTTTCCCGACCAGAAAGGGTAAACTGGGCTTGGAACTTTCTTCAAACTTTTGCCTCAAGAAAATCAGTAAACAACTTAGGTGTTTGTTTATTTTTTTAAATCCTGAATGGGCAGGGGATGTGGCTCAAGTGGTAAAGCACATACATTGCATATGAGAGGCCCTGGGGTAGATGTCCGTACTAAGTGGTCCCTAAGCACTGCTGGGAGTGGTCCTAGTGGTCCCCAGCACTTTGTGCCACCTGGCAACCAAGGATGGCAGCAACAGTTCCCCAAGATCTTAGCATTCATATTTACATGTTAGCTAGATGTTCCGAGATCCTAAGACCCAGGTGAGAACCCTGGCATGCTTTGGCTCCCGCTCCCTGGGGAGCACACAGATCTTTTAGTAACACAGATCTTTTAGTAGATGAGCCATTTTCTTGGTGAGGATGGGTTCAGTGGGCACAGCCCAAGCTCATGGAAGCTGTGACCCAACATTTCCTCACCAACGTGTTCCCATTGCTTTTCCAGGCCTCTCCAGTCATGCATGAGGTTTGCTGGAGGAACTCACTGCCTGCCTGCCGTGACCTTCCTACCAACCAATGACCCATTCCTCCCAAACATCCACCCCCTCACTGCTATCTCCTGTGTGCATTTCCTACAGCTCTCTGATTCTATGGAGGCTAAATTAATTGTGAGCATCGTTCATTCCCTAACAGATCCTAAACTCCTTAGAGAGAGAAGCTATGCTGGTTTCACATCTGTGACTCTTCTCCTCCCACAGTCCCATGAGGCGGTATTGTCACACATGGGAGGAGAGCAAAACACAATAAAGTGGAAATTGCCTTGGTTTCCTAATACATGAGGTATTGAAAGTATATCCGGGGATCCTGTGCAGATGGCAGTTCCACGCCTCACACTGTCCTCTGGCAACACCCCCTTTCACTGACCGCTTGCCCCTTTCACTGCATCATCATGGGCACCAACAATCAGATGCTGTTAGCACAGAGCTATAAAGAAGGGAAAAGCAGACAGGCCAGGGCAAGGCTTCCAAGCTTGCTTTTTTTTTTTTAAGAGATTAAAATTACATAACCAAAAGGTTGGCGCTATTACTTCCTGTCCCCAAGGAAAACCAAGGCAAGATTTTGTAAGGAAAAGGGTGGTGAAAGGAGATAAAAGAAAGAAGAAAGGGGGTTTCCTGTAAAAACCCAGGGCTGAGACTGGAATGAACTCCCATCTCGACAAGGAAACACGAGGTCACCTTTGCCAGGGATGCTGAGACACTGTGCAAGAAATGGCCATCAAGGGCCCCAGAGTCTCTGAGGGGCCTCAGGCCTTGTACCCATCCCAAGGTCAGCCAGAGACCCCAGCACTGGAGACCAGAGTGGTGGGCAAAGGTGGAAGAGTGCTCCCATGCCCAGCACCGGGGGTGACCTCGGAGGTCCCCAAGCAGCACAGTGTAACTGGGCCCTTGCATTGAGCCTTCTAGTCTGGTGTCTCCAAGAATGGCTACTGAGTCCCTGGAACATCCCCAACCCTTGAAAAAAAAAAAGCACAAACATAAACTTCATTTGAGGCAGTGGTCCCTGGAGATAAGGAAAAAATCACTTCAGAAGGAACTCAGGGGAAGTTGACCCCTGTTTACAAGGTGGAAAAGGGAGGCAATCAATGCTGGGAAGATGAATGTGTTGGGGGCACTGCATAGAGGGCAGGCGAGGACTCAGTCTGGCACCACCTGCAGGATGTGAATCTTTCTTTGGCTAAGAAAGATTTGCATCCTTGAATCTTTGGGGTCAGAACAGAGTAACCCTGGGTAGACTCCAGAGGCAGTACCCACAAGGGTTGCCCGGGTGAAGGGGGTAGGGGGAAGGGAGGGGGAGAAGATGGAGGTGAGTTGGGGGTTGGTATGGATTGCTGAATTCGATTTCAGCCAGCAGGGGGAGAAGTCATTGCTACTAGAGATTTAAGATCGCTTCTCTCTCTCTCTCTCTCTCTCTCTCTCTCTCTCTCTCTCTCTCTCTCTCTCTCCCCTTTCTCTCTCTCTCTCTCTCTCTCTCTCTCTCCCCCTTTCTCTCTCTCTCTCTCTCTCTCTCTCTCTCTCTCTCTCCCCCTTTCTCTCTCTCTCTCTCTCTCTCTCTCTCTCTCTCACACACACACACACACAAGTCAATTACAAAGCTGCTAAGGAAAGATGGAATTCAATTTAAGGGTGAGAGATTCGGTTCAGGAGCATGCCAGCTGTCCCCCACTTTCCCTGCACATCATTCTTCCCTTTGGGAAGACAGGAAGCGGATACTTCTCTGTGAGGATCAGGCAGAGATGAGGTGAGTAACGGAGGTCCTGTGCATGCCTCTGCTTGGGCCAGCAGACCCCTCAACATCACCTTCACCCAGATTCTCTCCTACTTCCCACTCTGGCCATAGGTTACTCAGGGGCAGAGGCCAGGCCCACATGGCATCAGTGCCCACCTGGGAGAAACTGGGGAAGCCTGGGGCACGGCCTGCACACCTTCCCAGGGAGCCCTGAGCCCCGCAACACGTCCCCCAGCTCTGTTTGCGCCACCACACTCGGACACTCGGAAGCAGGAGGAGGGGAGTTAAGTTGGGGATGGTGAAAACAGCTCCCCGATCCCCCACCACGACCCCTCCACAGTACCTGCCAAGGCCTTGATCCGGGACCTCTCAAAGAGCCGGGCAGAGCTGTTGTCATTATCCAGCTCATCATCTGGGGCATCCCAGCGGGCATTGATCCGGCTGTACGGTGGCTGGTTGCCCACGTTTTCAAACTCCGTGGCCGATGTCATGTCAGCAGGCTCTCGGCAGCTACGATGCCTGCCTCAGTCTTCATGGAAGGGTCCCTAGGGGCACAGCAACACAGTCAGAGGGTTAGCGCCCACCCCTCTGACTTTTTCTCAAGGGAAACTTATTCGGAGCAGCCAGCGGGAGCGGATCCTTGCAGGAGCAGCATGAGGGGCCGTCCGACTGGCCATACTTCTGGCCCGGGGTCTCTGGGTGGTTGATTGGAAAATATTGCGGCCGCAGCAGCAGCAACAGTCGCGGTGGCGGCAGTGGCGGCGGCAGCAGGAGCAGCGGCGGCGGGGACAGAGCTGACTGCAGCGAGGGTCAGGACAGCCAGCAGGTGGAGACGTCAGTCAGCAAGCAGCTTCCTACAAACTGTCCCCACAGCCACAGCCAACCACCCAGGGCACCCTGGGCAGCTCTTTGGAGCCAAAGCCCACAGAGCAGCCTCACATGGAGGGAACTGGGGCCAGGACCCACCTGGAAGGGAAATCAGGGCAGGGAGGGCAAGGGAGAAGCTGGAAGTCGATGGAGTCAGACTCAAACAGATTGTGTGTGTGTGTGTGTGTGTGTGTGTGTGTGTGTGTGTGTGTTATGGGGGTGGAGGGACATGCAGGGGAGGCAGGGAGGCAAGATGGAACTGGGGAGTTTCACCAACCCAGCAACTGTGGAGAGTTTCCTTCCTTCACCCAGCAGTAATCTATGAATCTCTGAAAACCGAGCTCATAGTTGTGGCAGGAACTTGGGCAAGGTCTCCTGCTGGAGTCCAGGACAGACCAAGGGACCCAGATGGAACTTGTCCCATCAAAGCCATCAGCAGGGGGCTGGAGCGATAGCACAGAGGGTAGGGCATTTGCCTTGCACATGGCCGACCCGGGTTCAATTCCCAGCATCCCATATGGTCCCCCAGCACTGCCAGGAGTAATTGCTGAGTGTGTGAGCCAGGAGTAACCCCTGTGCATCACCGGGTGTGACCCAAGAAGCAAAATAATAATAATAATAAATATAAATAAAGACACAAACCACACACACACAAACACACACACACAAAAGCCATCAGCAGGATGACGGTGAGGGACCCCATGGACAGCTGTGGGTGTTCTGGGTTATGAGAACCAGGTGAACATTTACCATGTAGATTCTACCCATCTTTCTATCTGTCCGTCCATCCATCCATCCATCCATCCATCCATCCATCCATCCATAATTCATTCAACTATATACTGGGCTGGAGAGATAGTACAGCAGGTAGGGCACTTGCTTTGCAGGTGACTTACCCTCATTCAATCCCCAGCATCTAAGCCTCTCAAGTTATCCTTGAGCTCAGAGCCAGAAGTAAGCCTTGAGCAGTAGTGTGGCTCTCAAACAAAAAACAAACCAAACCCCAAGGAGGTGGTAGATGTAGTGCCAGGCAACTATGAGTTAGGGCAGAAAGGGCCTGTGCTCATATGCTTATACTTTTGGCAGCCACTAAGTAACTGCATCAGTGATAGGAGCCTGAATGGGAGAGAACAGGGAAAGGTGAGAGCAGAAGGAAGTTTCAGAAGACTCTTAAAGGAAGCTTAGAAGAGGAGAGAGGAACAAAAGGGAATGCCCTGCCACAGAGGTGGGGTGGGGTTGGGGGGATGAGGTGGAGGGATGGGAGGGATACCGGGATCATTGGTGGTAGAGAATGGGCACTGGTGGAGGGATGGGTACTCGAGTGTTGTATGACTGAAACATAAGCACGAAAGTTTGTAAGTCTGTAACTGTATCTCACAGTGATTCACTAATGAAGCTGAGAAAGTCCTGAAAATAGCCAGATATACAGGAATGAGTTTAATTAGAGACACTAAAGAGGAAGTGCAAAGATATAAGGGTACAGAATGTCATAAATTTAGGACTCTTAGAAGGATGAGGGCAAGGCTGGGGAGAGAAAAGAGTGGGGATGCTAGAAGCCAGACTAGGTCTTCATATCCTAGGCCTTGGAAAATGACCAGCTTCCCTTAGGCCTCAGTGTCCTCACCTGTACTTGCCTTTAAGTCATTTCCCCAGGAAAGAAATCCAAGAGAAAAAGAGGGAAAGAGGCTGGGGAGATGGCAGAGTAGGATGATGCCATACGCACCAGTGAGCTCTGAGGACCAGCCACTCCCTCTATGAACATGTATACACATACACATACATGCACACATACAACGAACACCTCTCCACCCTCACTCCAGAGCCCCTGTTCCTACATGCCCAAACAGGTATAGACTAGAAGAAACAAAGTGCACTCACCCACCCCAGAACCCCAGCCTAACTGTAGCACACCGGCCCTGGCATCAGAGATAGAAGCACTGCGCACCTTCTCCCTTCTGATCAATCAATCTTACCACATCCCTTTGAGGTGAGAGAAGAGCCCAAATTATCCACAAGAATTGCACAAGGGAGAAAACCAAAGCCTGAGACCAGATAAATCAACCCCAAGGTCACTAAGGTGTCACTCGAGAGGGCTGGAACCAAAGATTAAACTGCAGTCCAATTCACCAACCCCCCTTGACCAGATAGGCTTTAGGGACACGGGTGAGGAAAAGAACATGGCACATGGGGACAGGGTTATACCCAGCTTTCAGAACTAGGCCAAGTCCTCTTCTACATGAGGAAAGAGGAAGTATAAGTTGGGGTACCAGTGGTCACCCCAAACACAGCATTTCCCATAATACCAGGCTCTGTGCCTAAGAACCGCCCTGTCCTGTGGAGAGCTGGTTTTCCACGAATGACCTCTGCTTTTAGGGCTGAGATTTGCCCTCACGTGCCTGGGTAGCGATAGCTGGGAAGACCCTACCACCGCCTCCCTCCCTGACCCTGGATTCCCATTTCCCTTTGGGGTGGCTACTGCTGCCTCGAGCTGACCATCTCAGGAGCCACAGCCTGAGTATGGCCCAAGAAGATTAAAGCAGCCAGACCTGGGAGGCGAGATCAGATCCTGCGCACAGGAGGTAACTGGACCCTGCTCTTCTTGCCTTGAGCTATTTTTAAGAGTGGATGAGAGAGGCTGGGGCCATGAGACTGGCTGGGGGAGTGAGATTACCTTCACGGTGGCTCTGTAAATAAGTCTGCCCCAGAAAGATGAGCCTGAGCAGGCAGATCAGCAGGCCCAGTGCTCAGGACAAGATTGATGGGCCCGGGTGCAGAGGCGCAGCCACCCGAGAGCAATTCATCCTGCTTAAGAGCACCATGCCTCCTGCGGCCACGGCGGCCCACAGCAGCGCCAGCACACGTGTGTCTCAACACGAAGCTCCAGGTCGTGTCTTAAGGGTCAGGTCAGCTGAAGATAAACACCGAGGAGAGAAAATTTCAGAAAGCATGGAATGCCCTCTTCCTCCTGCTCCCCCAAGCTGTGCCCACCCCAGAGGCCTGCCCAGATGGCATGTTCCCATCACAGCCAAGGAGGTGGGGGGCGGGCCTGTGCACTCAGCGATGAGGAAAGAAATCTTAGAGAATCAGCTCTGAGAGGCAGAAGTGAAGAAAATAAGAAAACAAGAACGCTACAGATGGTTATTCCAGGAAAATGAAAACAAACCCCAAAGATGCCAAAAACAGATTTCAACTCAACCCTGTGGGGGGAAAGGGGGAGTGACGGGTGGTGGGGAGGGTCCTTCCAAGTGATGCTCAGGGAGCCCAGAGGTCACTCCCCCAAATTATTCCTCAAAAGGCCCCTGGTTATGCTTGGAGGCCTCCAGGTCTGCACCTGGCATACTTGGATCAACTCAGCCCCTTTTGCCCTTGTGCCACCCATGTCTGTTTCCAATTCTGTCCTAAAGCCCCTTCCAATGCCTGAATACGACTCCGTGGCAGAGCACCTGATTTGCGTACATAAAGCCCTGGGTTTAATTCCTTGCATGACATTCCCCCAAGCATGATCAGAAGCAGTCTCTGAGCACCAAGCTGGTATGCCTGAGTGTACCACCAGGTGTGCCTCCCCTCCCCAAACAAACAAAAACAAGTACCAAGACTTAGCTATAGAGAAGCCACTATGATGGAAAAGAATAGGACATGTTGTGGGCTCATATGAGGACATTCAACTCCATGGGGAGATAGGGAAATGACATTCAAATGGGCATCTGAAGGGAATGTGGAGATGAGGTGCATTATAAAGGAGGAAGCACTGTGAATGGTCCTTCATGAGTTTTTGGGGAGGGAGGCAAATATGCACTAAAATCAAACCTAAGATGCCCTGTGTCCCACAGCCTGAAATCCAGGGAGAAAGACCTATGAAGTAGATCCCGGTCTATTCACTCTGGCTCCCAACACACCCTTTCTTTAACTCACCAGACATTCCTCAAAGTGTAAGCAGGTCTTTTCTGGCCCAGGTGACCCTGTCCATACACCTCTCTGCCTGGCAGCTGGGCAGACCTACATCCAAATGCATAGTCCAGAAACCACACTGGCTCATATTTTCAGCAGAAGCATTTTCAGAAGACTGGCCTGCACCTCAGTCCTGGAAAGCTCACTGAATGGTATAGACCAGAGTTTTAAAACACTGATCCGCACACCGGTGCCCGTCAACAGAGAGTTCCTGCTAGTTCATGAGAAAGCTGTTGTCCAAAACTAACAGGGGTTTTCAACTGTTGGTCCACACGTGATACTGGTCCACAAGTGTAAAAAGGTTGGAAAGCAGCAGGGTAGACCACTCACTTGCAGGAGGAACACCTGCTTGGAAAATTCACATTATCACAACGCAACCCACAGCTCCATCCTTCACACATGTGCCCAGGGACTCATCTGCGCCTGGTGTCAGATTTGGGCCTCACACCCCAGCACACAGCAAGGGCATGGGGCATTTTGAAACAAAGAGGTGGACCTGGTATGGGCTGTCCTCAGAGGCATGGGTTGAAGTCAGCTTCCTGGGCTCTAGCTGGCACTTCACTGGTCTGTCCTGCAGCACTGAACAGAAGAGGAGGGAAATATTGCTCCTTCCTCCTCCTCCTCCCCATGCCATCTCTCCTCCCTGTGCCACCAAACACGAGAAGAACCAAAGCTCAAAGCCTGTCTCAGGGCAGGGG